CGCGTCTTCGANCTGTGCTACGTAGTAATTGATGAATAAGGTCAAAGGAATCCAGTATAAAGAATGAGAAGGCGATCAGAGGCTTGCATCCTGGTCCAGACGTCCCCTCTGAAGTTCTCCGTTCTCGGAACGAGCTTTTTAACAAGCTTCGTAACCAGAAGAAGAACACCAAGACGGGTAGTCTTTGGGACAACTTCGATGTGGAGTGGTGGGGTGGCGTACCAAAGCTAGTCTGCCTGTTCTGCGATGAGCCGCTCAGCACAGTGAACCCATCCTTTACCAACTGTAACACAGCAAAGGCGTAACCCGGGATGCTCAGATTGGCATTTGCGTCGTTACATTGCCCCCCACTTAGCAATGGACGTCCTCGGCCATTATTTCGAGCACAGGAGCCATCCCACCTCGCGCCAGTGCGCTGGTTTATCCATTACACCATGAAATCGCCAATTTGCAACTTGCTGGTTGCCAGAATCGAACCGCCGACCCGAAGTTTGTTACGGAAGTCGTGCAGTCCCGTCTCGATACCATTGTAACACAGCAAAGGCGTAACCCGGGATGCTCAGATTGGCATTTGCGTCGTTACACCAACGCGCACCACATCAAGCAAGGTGCTTGCAAGGCTATCAAACAGCGTGCAGCGTCACTCAGCCAGCAAAGCGGGACCGGGTCGGGGAGGAGTGGACACGCCTGGGACTGGGCATTCCCAAAGCGTTCGATGAGTGGTCTGAGCTTATGCGCATGCACAAGGAGAAATTGTTGCCTGACAGCAGCACCTGTGTGATGGGGGCTTCACTGGATGACTGCATCAGCTACTGGGATGTGCACCTCGCTTCACAATTCCCACTGATTGCATCGGCAGCCATTCGCTTGCTGCTGATGCACGCATCAACCTGCTCGTCCGAGCGCAACTGGTCGGCATGGGGCAACTGGTCGGCATGGGGCCTCGTCTACACGAAGGCGCGCAATCGGCTGGCCATTGAGCGGGCGGAGAAGATCGTTTACATCCGTGGCAACGCGGGCTTGCAGGGCAACCAAGGCGCTGCGGTGGATGAGGTGGAGCTGATTCTCCAGCAGTGCGAGGAGGACGAGCAGGAGCAGGAAGCACAGCAGCAGCAGCAGCAGCAGCAGCAGGGAAACGTACACCCTAACACGCAGATTGATGACTGAGCAACGATAGATTGAGCTGCGGCAGTTTGCTGAATTGGAGGGTTACGTACTGGGCCGTTGTAGTGCAGGAACTTCACTAGTATGGCGTCCTTGTGTTGTCTTGTCAACGCTGGGTCTTCTATCTGTGATTATGTCTTTATGTGCCATACCACGCCTTGAGACATGGGGTTTGGGGTCCACCTACCGGGCACCGAACTAACAAAAAGTGATCTGGATGACCACAGCGATCTGCTTTCCCATGTCGAGGACTTCTTCACAACCGCCGACTAGTTAGTTATGCCTTCCTTCCTTCTGGTGATCAGTCTTTCCTTGGCAGCAGCTTCATTAGTTCGTGGTTCGTTTTCTCCTCCTTCCTCTCCCTTCCCCCCTTCCCTCCCTCTCCCTTTCCCCCCTCCCCCTCAACCCGCAAACAACATCGGAGTGACCCGGTCCGAGCGTCCCAATGCAATCCGTCAACATCAAGCACAACGGGGGAGGTCTACGATAAGGGTGCTCTGGCCTAGGGGGGTATTGGGAGTCGAAGAGAGTCGGAATGCTTGCAGATCCCACGACACTGAACCGCACTGCCAACTGCAAAGAGCTGAAAACAGGTTTACGTAGACAACTAATAGTTTCCGCAGTTTCCGCAGTTTCCGCAGTTTCCGCAGTTTCCGCAGTTTCCGCAAAGGGGTTCCCGAAAACTGTTTCCGCAGACCCTTACAGATTCGGAATACTTTTATTCCCGCGACTAAAAACCTATTCCTCCGTTCGGCCTGGAGAATGTACCGGCAAAAATGAAAAAAAAACTGGTTCGGTTCTGATCCTCACATGTTGCTGGTTCCGCCCGTACCGGAAAAGTGCATTCCGGTACGGCGATGACAGGAGGTGGTATCTACATCGACTTGAAGGCAACCCTAAGACCAATGGGATTAACGAACAGGTATAAAAAATGTTTCTTGGCTGCGTCAAGAATTGTCCTAGGCGATAAGTTCATGGTCTGGTGCAGACCTGTTCTCCGGTACGGCAACGCTAGCAGATGTTCATAAATGACTTTTACATTTATGATACTCGTCATTACTACAACGGAACTGGACCGGACGGATGTAAGACGTGCGTTGGTCGACGCAATCGCCTTACGAACCAGGAGAAGGAAGCGAAGATAACGCATGGATTGATATGCATAAGTCATGGATGAATACGTTGTACGCTCTGGATGTTGGTTTTTAGCTTCTAGCTTGCTTCTGATCCTCACATGTTGCTGGTTCTGCTCGTACCGGAAAAGTGTCTTACGATACGGCGGTCGCGGTAGGTGGTATCTACGTCGACTTGTACGCAAACCAATCACAACTTGGGGATGATATCGCAGCTGGACTTCCCGCGCTACATCCTTACCCAGGGCGGGGCCCGTTCGCACTCGGTGCGGGGCCCGCCCGTCGCCTGCGTAGCTTCGCAGCAGAATTGAACAGACATTCCTCGTTCACTGGCAGGCGCCCTAAGTGCTGCCACGGTTGTAACATTTCCATCTCTAGAAGAATAGCATGTAGACGTGTTGTTGGACTGATATTGAAGAAAGTCTAAAACAAACGAACCTTCGTCGATCTCTCGATGACCAGACACTGTCACGACGCGAAGGCGCTTGTCTCAATAACCACTTGTTAACACCTGTCAATTGCTCACTGTTAGGAAATAATTAACACTTGGCTTCTTACCACCTTTCAGCTGTACCACGTCTGCCATCGCCGCCGCCATGGAGCCAGCAGTGGAAATGTTTACCCAACTCTTTACTGCCGCGCTGGCAGCGATTAGGGATTGGCGACAGAATAAGAATGCGGCGAAGCTGTTCATCTTCAAGCTTGCCTGCTTCCTTGCTTCCCTTCCTCCACATCCACAGGTGAAACTCATGTTTGAAGGGCATCACGTTCTGGCGCCACTCGATGCGTCCCCAACAAGCATTTATGATATGTCATTCACAGATGGCAACGGCAAAGTAAGGACGCTGCTCGCTTTTTGCCTGTCATGAAGCCCATGACGGGAGGCACCTACGCCCTTTGAAATGTTGCCTGCAGGTCGCTGTACTGGGGCGCACCTGTTGGGGCTCACGAAGAAACCGGACCGAGAAACATTTTACAGGCTTCTCCATGAAGGCGGCAGATTGTAGGTCCTCCACGAGATCCGCGAATTGAAGTTTTCCTCACAGGAAGCTGTGATTGAGGAGGCCTGGAAGCATGCTGATGCGGGTGCTCCCCCCAACGGCATCAACCTCATCGAGAAAGTTCAAGGCCTGCACTACGATGAGCGTAAGCCCTCTCGGCCTTTCTACAACTTACATTGGCCGCAGGCTGCAGCCTGGGCCAGATTTGCTAATGAAAAGCAGAGAGGTGCGTGACAGAGTAACGGCAACACGTCTGTATTTTTTCGGGCACTGTATAGGCGACATATTCTGGAAATTAGGTTAAAGGTATATAGTCCAGCTGGCTCTCTACATATTCTACAAAACTTAAGGCCCGGGCGTAAAGAGGTGCATGTGTACATGGTGATCTAATACATGACCATGTATATATATATATAGAATACCCGACCTTGTTTAGGCACCGCGGTACACTCGCCAGGTAAAGCAGTATGTCTACATGTAATGCTGCAAAGAACAGCTGTTCTTTACAGCAGTGCCTATATGTGTACAATTTGGGGATGTTTTCCCAGTTCTTGTACCGGCCAAACAGCCGTACCATATCTGTGTGCAGTCTGCAAGCAAATGCAGCAGTATTATGACCACGTCTTCATATTTGTAGTAGTCGTGACGAGTGGCAAATTTAACATGTCAATTGTTCGAAGCAGAGATCCGACTGTCCATCACTCGTGCCTTCATCCTACCTTGCTGTTAGGTCATCAAGAAAGGTGAGGCTTCCAGTCGTGTGCCTTGGCATGTCGCGGACTTGGATGCAGCCCCCATAAGCTGCACA